TCCCAGGGCATATAAAAGTTATGTTTGCACTATACTGTAGTCTATTAAGTGTGCAATAGCATTATGTCTAAAAAACCATACATAATTTAAAAATACTTTATTGCTAAAAAGCAGATCATCATCTGAGCCTTCAGCGAGTCATAATCTTTTTGCAATAGTAACATCAAGGATCACTGTCACAGATCACCGTAACAAATATCATAGTGAAAAAGTTTGAAATATTGTAAGAAATGCCAAAGAGTGACACAAAGACACGTGAGCAAATTCTGTGGGGAAAATGGCTTTGATAGACTTTCTTGACACAGAGTTGCCACGAACCTTCAATTTGTGGGAAAAAAAAATCTGTGAAGCACCATAAAACGAGGTATGCCTGTATAGCTTTGTCCGCATGGAGGCTTCGATGGGGCGGCAGCCATGGAGGTGGGGTGCAGTGGATTTGGGATGTGCATATCTTGAAGGTAAATCCAGCAGGATTTCCTAATGAAGTGAATGTGCTGTTATGAGGGAAAGAGAGGAGTAAAGATCCTTCTACGGTTTTCGCCTGAGCAACTAGAAGGATGGAGTTGCTGTCAGCAGACAAGATCAAGGCAAGACGTGGAACAGATTTGGGGGAAAAGATTAGAAGTTCTGTGTTGGATATGTTAGTTTGAGATTCTTCAAATGAAAAGTTAGGTAGGCAGCTGAGTGTGTAAGTCTGGAGCTTAAGAACAAGGTCCACCTCAAAATAGAAATTTGGGTTGAAATGGCATTTACTCACTGAATGAGATCAACAAAGAAATAAGTGAGAGACGTCTGGGCCTTGAGGAGGGGTAACGCTATCAGGCTGGAGTGAGGACGAGATGGCGGAGGAGACAGAGAAGGAGCACACCGTGTGCTGGGAGGAAAACCAAGAGTGTGGGGTTCCGGCAGATGCTGTCAAGGAGAAGGAGGTATCATCATTGGTGTCAACTGCACTGAGAAGACAAGAAAGGGGAGAACTGAGAATTGACCCCTGGATTAACCAGGAGGAAGTATTGCTGATCTTAATAAGAGCCATTTCAGTGGAACAACTGGAGACAAAAACCCCACTCCAAGCAGCTTTGAAATTCAGAAGGGGAATTATGACAGTGTGGTATTGGGACAAGAGCAGACAAGGAGGCCAATGATACAGAATGGGAATCCAAAAACAGCCCCACACGTGTGGATAGACTCATGCACTTGATATATGTGACAAGTTGGTGCTGCAGAGCAGTGGGGGAAAGGAAGGCATTTTCAAAATATGATGCTGGGACAATAGGATATCCATTTGGGAAAAAAGAAAACAAAGATACATGGCTTCTGTCTCATGCTTTATACAATTAATTTCAGGTGGCATATAAGTCTAAAATTGAAAGGCAAAACAATAAAAGCTTTTGGAATATAGGAGAATATATTTATGACCTTAGGGTAGGATGCAAAGAGCATGTCTAAAAAGGAAAAAAAAATTGAGAAACTGAATTACATCCAAATGAAGGACTTCTGTCCAAAGACACAATAAAGAAATGAAGAAAGCAAGCCCCAGAGTGGGAGAAGATATTTGCCATACATGCAATTAACAAAGGAGTTGTATCCATACTAAACAAAAAGCACCAACAAATTGCTAAGAAAAAAAAAAAGGCAGACACCTCAACAGGAAAATGGGCAATAGGCTTAAAAAGACACTTTGTGTCACAGATTGGGTTCTTCAGAAGCAGACCCTGAGAAGGAGTTTGTGGTGCAAGATGTTTATTAAGAATCAAGATGCTTATTGTGAACAAAAGGGGGAGGAAGCAGGTTAGGGCGGAGAAAAGAGATGAACTTCGATGTAGGCCCAGCAAAGCCCAGGCTAACTTGGTGGAGGTGCTCATTAATGTGTCCTGTGTCCCGTGTCAGGCTGGTACGGCTGTACCTTTATAGTCTGCCTTGCTCAGTCAGAGAATGGGCTCCCCAGGAAGAGCGTGACCTTGGACAAGGTGGTTCTCTACAGTCAAGGGTGACCCTGAAGGAGCCACTGGCTGGAGGCTGTATGGGGACCACTCAGCTGCTGGGCAGCAAGTCCTTCCTGGAAGGAGGAGATGAGTGCCATGTCTCCACATCTACTACAGTTCACAAAACACTATATCCCAAGGTCCTAACACATACATAAAAAAAAAGCTGTTCAAGCTCTTTATCCATCAGGGAAATGCAAATGAAAGCCACAATGAGATATCACTACATACTCATGAGAATGGCAGAATTTGAAGAGATTGACAATACCAAGTGGTACTGAGGACATGCAGCAACTGGAAATCACATCTACTCCTGGTAGGGTTGTAACTTTGTAGATCACTTCCTAAAACTGTTTGCCATTAGTTACTAAACTTGACCTTATGCATAGGCAGTGACCTAGCAATTACTCTTCTAGGTATCCATCCAGCAGAAATGCATGCACATATACACCAATAGACAGGTACAAGAATGTTCATAACAGCCCCGAAATAAAAGTAATCCAAATATTGATTGATTATAGAAAGGATAAACTTTTCTATGTTTATACAAATGTTGTGGTGGGGAGCCGCCAAGATGGTCCCCAGTGATCCCTGACTCTTGGTGCTCATGTCCTTGGGTGGTCCCTTCCCACACTGGACCAGGATGGTCTGTGTGATCAATAGCAAACAGCAGCACTGACAGTGTGTCACTTCTGAGATTAGGTTATAAAAAACATTGCAGCTTCCATCTTGGGAGTGCCTTCACTCACATTTTTCCTCTTGGACTATTTGCTCTGGGGAATCTATGTCGTGAGCAGACCTATGGAGAGACTGAAGTCTTGTCAACAGCCCTGTGAGTGAATTTGGAAGTGGATCTTCCAGCCCTAGTTAAGTCTTCAGAGATTATAGCCCTAGGTGACAGCTTGACTGCAACTACACGAGACACCCAAAGCCAGAACACCCAGCTAAGCCACAAATGATCCCTGACTCTCAGGACATAGGTGATATAATTAATGTTAGTTTTAACCTGCTAAATCTTGGGATAATTTGTTACACAGCAATAGATAACTGGTGCAATGGGATTCTATAAAGTAATGAAAATAAATGAAATGCAGTTACATTTGTCAACATGGGTGAATTTTGCCAACATGATATTGCATGAAAGAAGCCAGCCACAGAAGACATTTTTTTTATCCTATTATTTAAAGTTCTAGAAACAGGTAAAACTAAAGTACAGTGGAGGGATGCATGCCTAGAAGTTAAAGCAATAAAATAAATCAAGGAAGTGATGATCATAAAAGTTAGGATGGTGGCTACCTTTGGGGGCAGATGGGCAGGAACTGGAAGAAAGCATAAGGAAGACTTCTGTGCTCTCGCTAATGTGCTATTTTTCTTGACCTGGATGGTGGTAGCAAGGGTATTTGTTTTGGATAAATCATTAAGCTGTATGGTTCTGTTTTTACCCTCCATTCCCCCTTTTTTTGGTATATGCGTTGTATTTCACAATAAAAAAGGCAAACAAAGAGAATGGGAGGAGAGAATTGGAGACAGAGAGCACACACAACTCTTTAGAGGAATGTTGTTACAAAGATGACCAAAGAAAGAGAGTAGCAGCTGGAAGAGAAATGAAATCAAGATTTTTTTTAAAAAAAAGATGAGAGCAATAACAGTATGTTTTATGCAGAAGGAAATCATCTACTGGAGAGGAAAAACTTATAAGGCAAGAGAGGGGTATTGCTGGAGCCAAGTTCTGGAGTAGGTGAGAGGGATGGGTCTGGGCTGAGCAGGGTGCCAGCCAGATATAGATATGTCTATATCTACGTGTGAGAGAGAGAGGGAGAGAAAGAGGTGTTTTAAGGAACTGGCTCACACGATTGTAGAGGCTGGGCTGGTCCAGAATCTGCAGAGTGGGCTGCTGGCAGGCTGGGAGACAGGGAAAAGTTGATGCAGTCTTGAGTCCAAAGGCAGTCTGGAGGCAGAATTCCCTCCTTCCTTGGGGGAAGTGAATCTTTTTCCTTTTGAGACCTTCAACTAATTGGATGAGACCTGCTCACGTTATGGAGGATAATCTACTTAAAGTCTACTGACTGAAATGTTAATCTCGTTTAAAAAAATACCTGCGCAGCAACATCCAGTGTTTGACCAAAATATCAGAGTACCTTGGCCAAGCCAAGTGGACACATAAAAAAACCACCCACCATGAAGACCTTGACAGTGTTTGTCAGTTAACTTGCATTGGGTGGAGAAGGAGGGCGAGAGACAGTCATTTGGCGGTTAGGACATCTCTTGCCCTTGGTTTTCACTTGGAACATCTGTCTCTTGATTTTTCTGTCTGCCTAGAGAATGTCTGTACAGCATTGTGAGAAGGGGAGAGGATGGAATCATTGTGTGAGTAAGGTAAAACAAGACACAAGACCTTCATCTTTTTGTTTTGCGTTTGCAGCAAAATATAATACTAATTTTGACTGAGCAAGATGTCTACTTGTATTTTTCTTACAGTTTGGCAAGTCTTGTAGTTAAAAAGATGGATTCCCTATCACACTTACTCAAGGTGGTCTAAGTGATGGGGCCAGGGGAGCATTAAGCTACCTAATACCTGTGGAAGACGAGGGCAAAGATGCTCTCAGGAGCAGTGCGATTGTCCCTAGGAGACTTTCTACCAGGAGCTCAGGTCTTCCCTTGTCTCTGAAGACCCTGAAAGAGGTGTCTTCAGTGGAAACGGTCACTTTCTTCTGCCCTGCCCCACGAAGCACTAGTTTCCCCAGGACGCTCCACCTCCAGTGCAGGTGCTCCGTGCACGTGTCGGGGATTCAGGCGGGAACGGGCTCAGCGAGTGAGCGGCGTGTCCAGATGCCGCCGCCAGGGGGCGCGAGGCGGCCGAGGAGGCCGGGAGCAGGCCGTCAGGAGCCGGGACATCCGGGGCGCCTTCCTGTGAGCCCGCGGCGCGAGCTCCTGTGGCAGGAGCCACGCCCGAGCTACGGGAGAACCGGAGTCCCGACCATGTCCCCTTTGCCCACCCGCAGGACCGAGCTGCTTCTCCTCGGACCCCTGGAGGCCAAAGGGAGTCACTGCCGCTTTTGTTGTTCGTCTCTCGGGCGGATAGACCTGGCGCCCCGTCCTCGGGGCGGGAGGCTTCCCCACTGTCCCCAGGATTCAGCCCCGAAACTCCACCCTGGGGGCCGACAGCTACCCACGGTCATTGCCTCGGAGGGGTAACCCCGTGAACTTCAGGGCCTCTCGCTAGAGCAGGGAGGAAATACAGCCACCCCACTGGATAAATATAATCCTCATTAGGACTCACCGCCACACCTTCCATCGGAGCTGTCAGGGGCCTGGCTCTGGGGCCAGGAACAGGGTTGCCAGATTTAGCACACACACGAAGGATGCCCAGGTAAATTTGAATTTCAGATAGACAACAGATTATTTTTTAGTATTTAAGTGTGTTTCATGCAATATTTGGTATATACTTATACTAAAATGTATATTAAATATATTTTTATATTATATAGTTAGGAAAACACATACTAAATATATATTACATAGTATATATAAATCTATTTATTAATAAATATGCATATATGTTTAAGGTATATACATTTGGTATACTAAATGTATGTTTGTGTGTGTGTGTGTGTGTTCCTTGTTTATCTGAAATGAGAATTTGACTGAGTGTCCTGTATTTTTTCTGGCAACTCTAGCCAGGAATGAATTTATGTGGAGGGAGGAATGGAAAGGTGTGGGCGAATGAAAGAATGCGTGAAGCTCTCATCGTGAGAGAGATTCATTTCTGTTTTGTCTTTTGAATGTCTTCTTATCTATATATTTTAAATTCCATTTATAAAAACCTGGCTGGTTTTTAAAAAAATCCAATCTCTGCTTTGTTTCAGTTAAACTCAAGTACAACCTTGTCTGTGACTTTTTTCCCAAGCCATCAGCTTTCTTAACAGATTTTAAGAAGAAGCAACCAATCATTTAGATCATGAAATTCAGCTAAAGCTGCTGCTCTTTATGTCTATGGAAACTTCTTTTCGAGAAGCTTAATATTTTTACATTAATTTATTTTAATAGACAAATCTGTATTTTGCTATTTTGGCAGAGAGGTTTACTTTTATATATATATATAAATTTATTTATTTATTTTTGGCTGCGTTGGGTCTTCGTTGCTGCGCGTGGGCTTCCTCTAGTTGCAGCGAGTGGGGGCTACTCTTCATTGCGGTGTGTGGGCTTCTCATTGCGGTGGCTTCTCTTGTTGTGGAGCACGGGCTCTAGGTGCACAGGCTTCAGTAGTTGTGGCACGCAGGCTTCAGTAGTTGTGGCTCGCGGGCTTAGTTGCTCCGTGGCATGTGGGGTCTTCCCAGACCAGGGCTCGAACCCGTGTCCCCTGTATCGGCAGGCAGATTCTTAGAGAGGTTTACTTTCTGACTGAAGACCATGCTGAACAGGAACTGTTGGGTAGGGCAGAAATATGGAAGTCATGATACCACCTGTGCACCACCCTGAACAAAGCCTGGTGGGAGCCTTCTGGGGACCTCACTTCTGGATAACCATTTTACACCCACTGTCCTATGGGACACACACACACACAGTCTATGTGTCCATTACATTTAGATTTTGGGTCAAAGGACTCAATCCCCTATGAGGGACCAGATCCCCCTTGCTCCTGACCTGCTTAGTCTTGGAGGAGAGAAAGCCAAGTGTGTTAGTTTCCTAGGGTTGCTATAACAAAGTACCACAAACTGGGTGGCTTAAACAACAGAAATGTATTGTCTCTGTTCTGGAGGCTAGATTTTCAAAATCAAGCTGTCATCAGGGTTGGTTCCTTCTGAGGGCTGTGAGGAAAGGATCATTCCAGGATCTGTCTTTGGCTTGTAGATGGCATCTTTCCCCTGTGTCTCTTCACATTGTCTTCTCCCAATGCATGTCTGTCTCTGGGTCCAAAGTTCTCCTTTTTTTTTTTAAAGCATTGACTAATTTCATCCTCACATCCACGGTGGCATTGGTACTTTTGTTTTTAATTAATTAATTTATTTTTGCTGTGTTGGGTCTTCGTTTCTGTGCGAGGGCTTTCTCTAGTTGTGGCAAGCGGGGGCCACCCTTCATCGTGGTGCGCGGGCCTCTCACTCTCGCGGCCTCTCTCATTGCGGAGCACAGGCTCCAGACACGCAGGCTCAGTAGTTGTGGCTCACGGGCCTAGTTGCTCCGCGGCATGTGGGATCCTCCCAGACCAGGGCTCGAACCCGTGTCCCCTGCATTAGCAGGCAGATTCTCAACCAGTGAGCCACCAGGGAAGCCCCAAAGTTCTCCTTTTTATAAGGACACCAGTCATATTGGATTAGAGCACACCCTAATGACCTCACTTTACCCTGATCCCCTCCGTAAAGACCCTATCTCAATTAAGATCATGTTCTGAGGAACTGGGGGTTAGGATTTCATCATATTTTGTGAGGGACAGAATTCAACCCATAACACCAAGGAAACCCTGATAAATGAAAGTGCAATACATTGGTGCCTGAGAGATGACTCTTTTGGCGGGGGGGGTGGGGAGAGCTCCCATCAGCACCTTGACAGACAGGGGGTTGGCTGCCAGGCTGGAGCTTTGGTCAGGAAGCTCCTAGAACCCAGGAAGTGCTGGCTTCCAGGGAGAGCACATTGTTCGTGTCAGACACTTAAACTTGGTCTGAGAGATCAGTTGAGCTCCTGGCAGGAGAGGTGCTTTCCTCTCCACAGTGAATCCTTCCATGGTGGAAATTCTTGCCTCAGGGAGCGGTCCTTGTCTTCCCCAGGGCAGAGGCCCACTTGTTTCCTCTCATTGCAGGTGGGAAGAGGACCCTGAGCAGAGCATCCTCCACGGATTTGTCCAACACATGTGGCACCCAAGTTCACCGAGGAGCTGGGAATTGGACCAGGAAAGAAAAACAAGGGCAAGCATTCGGAGGATTTGAGGTAAAAATTTAATAATGTGTAGTACATGTTCATAGCAATCTGGGTCTCATAAAACCCAGCCTCCCCGGACTGTATCCTCTTACTCTGATGATAAAACTCTAATGCAACTCCATGTTCTGTCACACACAATTGAAATATGAGGATTCAAAATAATGCCTTGACTAATTCTTTTTTTTGTTTGTTTAATAAGATGTTGGGGGTAGGAGTTTATTAATTAATTTATTTTATTTTTGCTGTGTTGGGTCTTCGTTTCTGTGCGAGGGCTTTCTCTAGCCGTGGCAAGCGGGGGCCACCCTTCATCGTGGTGCGTGGGCCTCTCACTATCGCGGCCTCTCTCATTGCGGAGCACAGGCTCCAGACGCGCAGGCTCAGTAGTTGTGGCTCACGGGCCTAGCCGCTCCACGGCATGCGGGATCCTCCCAGACCAGGACCCGAACCCATGTCCCCTGCATTAGCAGGCAGACTCTCAACCACTGCGCCACCAGGGAAGCCCACCTAATTCTTTCTAAGTGAATATAGTCACTGCAGAGTTTCGAACTCAGACTTTGGCCACCCTTTTGTTCCATAAGATTTTAATATTCTAATTAGTAACAGGAAATCATGCAAAGGAGAGAATCCCATTTCCTCCACTGGTTTATGGAGACAAAAAGAATCCAGTCAACTCTTCTGTAGTTTCCAGAGAACCATCACCTTTCTAGTAGCTGCTAAGTGCAGTGTGAAAACAGGCTAATAGCACGTGCAATTTTCCATCATTACTGGTCCCCCTGGGAGAGTCTCCGGGCTCCAGCAGTGCTAACTTAGTAGTCAGGGCCATCACAGCCTGCTGCATTAGGACAGATCTTTTCAGAACTCATCCCCCCCAGGCATAATTTCAAACGGTCCTTTTTGCCAAAAGGAGACCCTTTGTCTCACTATGTTGGGGATATGAATTTTTAATCTCCCTAAAATAGAATGTATTGGAGGCGCAAAATTTGGCATCTGAGCAAATGGGATGGAGAATTGGCCTCAGGGAGGGAGTCCCCTTGCTGTGACGGCCATTGCCATTTGGGGCTCCGGAGGTAGTTGTTTGGAAAAGGAATTGGATTCTGTCCTTAAAAATAAAGTTATTTGGCAAAGTGAGGAAGCCTGGGTCCAGCTGAGAGCCCAGAAGCAGTTGGGGGCTTAACACCCTTCTGCACACCTTTAAGACTCGTGGCTGCTATTTAGTACCTACTAATCATTTAAATCATCAGTTTCTTGATCCACTGTGAGCACATTAATAATTTTTCTCAATACATTTGAGGTAAAAAGAGATTGCGGGTAGAAGACTAATTCAATCACTTGCATACAAGGGTACCAACACCATTTTTCCTGCCTTCCCTCCTTGGCAGCCTCCTTCAACAACACATATCCCCATGCTGTTGTGAGTCAACCCTGCTCCAGAAGACCCACTCACCCTTCCCTAGCCAACATGTGCCTTCTTCCTGTCAGTCTCTTCATTTCTTTTTCTCCTTCCGACACACATTCACATCTGTTTCCCATCACTTAATTGTTCTGTATCATGGTGTACATTTTATTTTTCTATTTTCCTGTCTATCATGTTACATCTAACTTTAGCAAACACATACTCATTTCATTCTGATACTGTATCCTTGATTGTTTCCCCTACTCAATTTATGATTATTATAATTTTTCTTTGTCTCTTTTTTTCTGTTGCTTTGGTTTTTCTCTCTCAAGGGTATGGAAACCAGACTCCAGGTGCTGAAGCTGGTCAACATCACCAGCAGCCCTGGTGCCAGCAGCCCCAGTGCCATACCTTCCAGTCTCTTCACCAGTGGGCTCTCTAATTCTTGTGAGAGTAGGTGTGGTAAACCCCCTTCCCGCCCCCTCCAGCCTGTTGCGGGAAGTTTGGGTGGGTCATTCCCACCTGGCAATATGTTTAGTCTCCTTCCCTGAAGCTGAATGTGCCTACAGATGTCCTGCTCTTCTACAGTCCCCCTCTATAGGGCCTGTCGGGGGAACAGCTCAGAAGTCACTAGCAGAGTTGGCGGGCAGAGCAGGCAGGTTGATGAAGAAGCTGGTAACAGAAGTGTACAGTGTGTGGGGACTTGTTTTCCTGGATTACTTTGAATAAGGCGCTTCTCTAATGTGCTCAAAAGGCATGTTACTAGAAGTTTTAAGATTGCTGCAAAACAGATGCTCTAAGTTTGGTGAAGTCAGTTCTGTTTTTTTTTTCTTTTTTTAAATAATTTTGGATTGATGGCCTTCTAAAGGGGCACTGAAATGATGTTTCTGACTACTCTTTGAGAGTCTCCTGTCCTCCCCAGGGTATGTCATATGCCTTTTTTCTCTGGCTGCCTTTAACATTTCCTTTTCATCTTTTATTTTCAGCAGTTTGAAAATGATATACCTAGGTGTGATGTTTTTGTTTTCTGCTTGATGTTTCTGAGCTTTTGGATTTGTGGTTTGATGTCTGTCATGAATTTTGGAAAATTCTCAGCCATTAGTTCTTCAAGTATTTCTTCTGCCTCATTCTCTCTCTTCTCCTTCTGGTGCTCCAACTGCATATATATTAAACCATTTTATATTGTCTCATTTTAAATATGAAAACATACATATATTGTGAGTAAAGGACAAAAAATAAATATGCAAACACTAAATAAAGCTGGAATAGCTATATTATATTAATATCTGAAAGAGCACACTTCAATATAAGGAATATTACCAGGGATAAATAGTGATGTTACATAATGATAAAGGAGTCAATCCTCCAAGAAGACATAGCAATCCTAAATTTGTACATATCTAACAACAGTGCTTAAAAAGACATGAAGAAAAAACTACTAGAACTGAAAGGAGAAAGAGGCAAATCCATAATTATAGATGGAGACTTCAAGGACTGATAGAAAAAGTAGACAGAAAACAGTAGACAAAGAAGATCTGAATAATATCATTAACCGACTTGACCTAATTGATGTTTATATTGATAGAATACTCAGCAAGATCAGAAAATACATTCTTTTCAATTGCACACAAAACATTCACCAAGGTAAACCATACATTGGCTCCTAAAGAAAACCTTAACACACTTTTAAAAATGGAAACATCTTTTTGGTTCCTGGAGCTTTGGCCTATGGGCAAGAGTGGTGGTGCTGCCTAGAGAGTGTGCAGGGTGCCTCCGCTGGGCCAGTGGGATAGAGGGCAGGTGGACAGGTTAAAAAAATAAATGAAATCTGACAAAGTATGTTCTTGAAGTATAATGGCATTAAACTAGAAATCAGTAACAATAAGATGTCTGGAAAATCCCCAAATATTTGGCAATTAACACACTTCTATATAACCTATGGGCCTCAAGGAAGCCTCAAGGTAAATTTTAAAATCCTTTGAACAAAATAAAAATGAAAATACATTATATCTAATTTGTGGATTGCAGCAAAAGCAGTGCTTAGAGGAAAATTTATGCATTAAAATGCTTATATTAGGGACTTCCCTGGTGGCACAGTGGTTAAGAATCCTCCTGCCAATGCAGGGGACATGGGTTCAATCCCTGGTCTGGGAAGATCCCACATGCTGCGGAGCAACTAAGCCCATGCGCCACAACTACTGAGCCTGCGCTCTAGAGCCCGTGAGCCATAACTACTGAGCCAACATGCCACAACTACTGAAGCCTGCGCGCCTAGAGCCCATGCTCTGCAACAAGAGAAGTCACTGCAATGAGAAGCCCATGCACCACAACTAAGAGTAGCTCCCGCTCACCACAACTAGAGAAAGACTGTGCACAGCAACGAGGACCCAACGCAGCCAAAAAAAAAAAAAAGCTTTTATTAGAAAAGAAGCAATGTCTCTGATCAAAAATCTAAGCTTCTACTCTAAGAAACTAGAAAAAGAAGAGCAATTAAACCCAAAGCAAGCAGAAGGAAAAAATAATAAAGAGCCTAAATCAATGAAATAGAAAAAAATGGAAAAACTTCCTACCCCCTCCCCCAAAAGAGTCTTTAAGTCCCCGTGTACATCAGTGGATGCAAATACAGATGTATGGAGGAAGAGGAATTCATTCACTTTTACAAGTTAGACTTGTGAGTGTTGGCTCTCTGTCACCCAGGGCGTCTGTGAAAACTAGATGTTATAAATGTTTTTAAAATTATTATAGGTCATCTATGTCATTTTAAAAGCTAACATCTGTTGAGAGCTTATAACATGCCAGGTATTGTTATAAGCACTTTAAGTGTATTAGTTAGTTCATGGAATCCTTATAAATAACGTATTTTTACCCCCATTTTATAGACGTGGAATCTGAAGCACGCACAAGTTAAGTAATCTGCCAAAGGTTAGTCACCTAATAAGTGACAGAGTCAGGATTTGAATCCAGGCAGCCTGGCCTCAGAGCTCAGATGTAAAGGAGTGTTTTTGCTGGTATTCATGACCATAGGGTCCAGGATAGAAAAGTCTGTATTTGTTTCTCCCGTGCCTTGCACAATATCTGGCAAACGATAGCTCTGGATAAGTGTTAGTTGGCAGATTTACAACTTGAGACCATTTTAGAATAAAAATGGAAAGAATCTTGGCCTATTAGAAAGGTGACTTCAGAGTTGCTAAGAGACTAGGTCTTAAATGTTATCTCCCCCCCAGAATGAATAATAATTATGTGACATGATAGAGGTGTTAGCTAAGGCTACAGTGGTAATCATTTCACAATATATAAATGTATCAAATCAACATGTTATACACCTTAAACTTACACAATGTTTTAAATCAATTATATTTTACACACAAAAAAGGTGATGACTACAAATCTACATTTTAAACTCTTTATAAACCTATTTATAAGTTACTGATGCTGGTCAATACAGACTTAATATTGTCTGATGTGATATAATGGGTAAAGGGAGGGAGATGGTGTGTTTGGGGATTGAGCAGATAGGTGAGAGTGAGGTTCCTCTGATAACATCACGAAAGTCATAGAAGAGAGCAAAGAATTCAGTCTCGGGAATCTTCATACCCATTCCATGAGTTAGCTGCCA